TCGCTGGCCTGAAATATTTCAAGGGAGCGGGGTGTTATTTTTGACAAGCACCATACAAAAAGGACGCTTTTGATTTTGTCACAGCTGTAATATCTGAGTTTATCATTACCTTTCTACTTTTTTTGCAATGTCGGAGTTTTTTGGTTGTCATTTTTTAATCACCCCCCACCACGACCAAAAGGCAATAAAGCCATTAAGACGCAATGGGTTACTGATTATAAAAGAATAAGAGAAAAAGATAATAAAAAAACCTATTAAAGAAAGAAGACAATAAAAGAAGAATTAGGAAGACAGAAAATAACGATTGAAATTTCATTTAAATTTTTGAAGATGAAAGGCAATAAAGCCACTAGGACGTAAGAGGTTACTGAGTGTTAGAGAATATGAGAAAAACTACTATTAAGGAAAGAAGACAATAAAAGAACAAGAATTAAAAGACAGAAGATAACGATTGACATTGCATTTAAAATTTTGAAGATCAAAGGTAATAAAGCCACTAGGATGCAAGAGGTTACTGAGTGTTAGAGAATATGAGAAAAACTACTATTAAGGAAAGAAGACAATAAAAGAACAAGAATTAAAAAGACAGAAGACAACGATTGACATTGCGTTTAAATTTTGGGGGATCAAAGTTGACTGAGAAGCAAGAAGCCGGAAGAGAGTCCCACCAGCGAAAGGTTTGAGAGAAGAGACTATTGTTAAATAATAGTCTAGCAGATTATTATCTTTTAAAGAATTGTATTTCCTCTAACTTACTCATTTTGACCTTTGAGGTCAGAGACGGGAAAACAAAGGAAGTTGTCTTTGAATAGCTGAGCCGAACGTGGGAACAGTAGAGTTCAAAAGTGTTTTCAGGGAGTTAAGTTTTTACACGTCATGCATATTAGACGTGGTTATTTCATGTCTCAGGGAACTTGCTCCCCGCGTGGGGTTGATAGAGCGACCCCACTGGCTAGTTAAGACGTGTTTAATAGAGTAGATAAGTTTGCAATTCCCTTTCATCTTCGAACCAAAATCATTTCGACACCCGTCCGGGAGAAGACAAGCGAGAAAGAATAATGCAACAAATAAGTGAATCAATACCGTTGCCCCAAAAGAACCGCAAAAGAAGAGGGCAATACAACACTGTCAGCATAGAACTTACGGTTGCATCTAGTCAATTCAACTGTAAAATGGTGAGACCTAGCTTCCAATCTAGTACCGCGCTTAAATTCGTAAAGTCTAGGTACCGTAGACGAGAGTACACCAGAACAATTACTATGAAAATATTTATAGGAAAAGCATAAGGTAGCTTCGTCACGCCGGTGGGTAAGTAACTGTTATACTAGAACATTACCTATTCTATTGTAATAGACTCTCCCACACATAATAAGTAGTAGTAGTAGTAGTAGCGGTCGCCAGTTGAGCTCAGTGGAGTTGAGTGAGTCAGTCGATGTCGGACATTGAAGTATCAACGACCACAACTAGATTGCTGCGTCATTAACTCTTATTTCAAGTTCCTAACGTTTTGTACGTCGGACCCTTTTAGGAGCGACTTATTGAAATACAAGCCTCCAATGTGAAACTACTCTACAACACAGTAACTGAAGCAGTGATGCCAGGTGAGGACCAATAACATTGCAGATTCTTCTTTGGATTTTATTAAAAAAGAACTCTGAATATATAGCTGAAAAACTGGTCCAGATATTGCAGCAATATTCAAGGCATGAAAGAATGGTAGACTTATAAATATATAAATGAGATTCGGGACAGAGAAATTGTCTAGAACGACACGTGGAAACAATTATCCTAGCAGAAGACCTAGCAAATAATTCAAAATTACCTTTCCACTTAATGTCAATAGAAAATGTTAGTTCAAAAAGACTGAGTGAGTCACACTCCTGGAGGTTAGCATCAGTCATGCCAGTTAACTACGGGTTCTTTATTAAAATAACAAAATTAACATTTTAATAAAAGTGAAAACGGAGTACAAAAAGAAAAGATTCATGTATATAATGCTATATTAAATTTACAGAAAGGTAGAATAAATATTATCTTGAATTATATTATTATTAAATGAAGCATTGTCAGCCATTATTCATTTTTGACTAGGATTTCTTTCATCTTAATTTCATAAGCTTTTTATTACATTAGTAGTATTAGTAGTAATATTATCTTGAATTTTATTATTATTAGATGAAGCATTGTCAGCCATTATTCATTTTTGACTAGATTTCTTTCATCTTAATTTCCCTTGCTTTTTTATTACATTAGTAATATTAGTAGTAATATTATCTTAAATCTTATTATTATTAGATGAAGCATTGTCAGCTATTATTCATTTTTGACTAGGATTTCTTTTCTTAATTTCCTTGCTTTTATTACATTAGTAATATTAGTAGTAATATTATCTTGAATTTTATTATTATTAGCTGAAGCATTGTCAGCCATTATTCATTTTTGACTAGGATTTCTTTCATCTTAATTTCACTTGCTTTTTATCACATTAGTAGTATTAGTAGTAATATTATCTTGAATTTTATTATTATTAGATGAAGCATTGTCAGCCATTATTCATTTTTGACTAGGATTTCTTTCATCTTAATTTCACTTGCTTTTTCTTACATTAGTAGTATTAGTAGTAATATTATCTTGAATTTTATTATTATTAGATGAAGCATTGTCAGCCATTATTCATTTTTAACTAGGATTTCTTCCATCTTAATTTCACTTGCTTTTTATCACATTGGTAGTATTAGTAATATTATCTTGAACTGTATTATATTGTAATATAATTCTATTTTTATTAGATGAAATAATGTCAAATGATTATTAATATTTGATTAGTACTTATTTTATTACTAGTTTACCTCTACAGTCAAAATTGACAAGAAAGTTTGTATTATAAGTAATATATATTATATTGTAACTAATTTTCGTTTCATCCAAATACAATTTTTTTTCTTCCTGTGTAATTGGGGGTAAGTGTACAAATTAATGATGACCAACTCGCCTAAATTAAAGTTACATTTGTTTTTACTTTGGTTTGGTTTATTTTGTTTTACGACATATCAAATTCAATGAGTTATTTAATGTCAACATTTTTAGGATAGATTCCTATGAATAGAGTATGTATTCTTTGGTTTAGATTGGTTTGGTTTGTTTTGTTTTACGGCATATCAACCTCAATGGGTTATTTAATGCCGACAACATTTTTAGGATAGATTCGTATGAACAGAATATGTATTCTTTGGTTTAGATTGGTTTGGTTTATTTTGTTTTACGGCATATCAACCTCAATGGGTTATTTAATGCCGACAACATTTTTAGGATAGATTCGTATGAATAGAATATGTATTCTTTGGTTTAGATTGGTTTGGTTTATTTTGTTTTACGGCATATCAACCTCAATGGGTTATTTAATGCCGACAACATTTTTTAGGATAGATTCGTATGAATAGAATATGTATTCTTTGGTTTAGATTGGTTTGGTTTATTTTTTTGTTTTACGGCATATCAACCTCAATGGGTTATTTAATGCCGACAACATTTTTAGGATAGATTCCTATGAATAGAATATGTATTCTTTGGTTTAGATTAGTTTGCTTTATTTTGTTTTACGACATTTCAACTTCAATGGGTTGTTTAATGCCGACAATTTTTATTGCTGGTAATATTTTGTTTTGTCAAAAATCTGTTTCTGGTAATATTTTCCTTCGAAATTGTATTCCTGGTAATAATTTTTTCAAAAAAAATGTTTTAATGGTAATAGTTAACTATTTGCCCATAGCTGGGACCCTAACAGGTGCTACCACCCCGGGTCAGGGTGGACCTGGGAACACCAGCAATTAAGAGGTGGTTCCATGCTCCTCAAAACCTCCTGATCAGAGGCTTTGCTGCTGGATGTAGTTTGACGTCTTACCCAGGACGCACATTTGTTTTTAGAAATAAAAAGAACTTTGGTTAAATAAAAATTAAGAGTGAAAGACACGTGTTACGGGTGACATTAGTCATGTTGAATATTTGTTTTACGAGTTTAAATGTATTTTATTTCCTTTTTAGTGGCAAGTAGGAAGAAATAAATAAATAGAATTTATGTACGTATGTGAGAAACCGTGAAATATTGTTAGATGTTTTCTTTTTTCTTTTCAAAAACATATATAACTTGAATTTAGGTGGGTGGGTTTTCGTTTCAGTGAAAAAGTCAGTACGTGTGTGAGTGCCTCTTAGTAGTAACGAGGATACAAGTGTGTGTGAGTGCCTCCTAGTCGTAACGGGGGTACAAGAGATAGTTAGAATTTAGTTCTTACTGTGAATTGTGTCGTCGTTGTTTGAAGCGATCACTTTCTAGAGACCCTCACACACAATATATATATATATATATATATATATATATATATATATATATATATATATATAAGGATAATTAATTTCTCTTGTTTTCTTCTTGTCAGTAATAATATTTGCTTGAATTTTATTATTATTATTATTATTAGATGAAGCGTTGCCAAGCGTTATTTAATTTTGTTCATTTTTTCTTTCATCATTCAATTGCTTTTTTACATTAGCAACATTCGTAGTAATATAATCGTGAATTCTATTCTTTCAAATTAAAATTATTGCCAGCGATTATAAAATTTGAAGTATTTCTTTTATCTTAATTTTCATTGTTTTTCAGCGCCATTCTACAACCTTCAATAAAAATCGAGGAACAGAAATAAATTGAAAAAAACAACCGAATTTAAAATGAAAGGAATTCAATAATAACTGCCAGTTTCTACATAGATAAGTTGACTTCCTCCTTCCTTTCTCTTTACATAGAATCTGTTGATAGACCCGCTA